CCTGCCTATGATACCCACTATGCGGAGATGTAGGTAACAAGATCATAATTGGAACCCAGCCCTGAAGGGAAAAGGAAAACATTAAATTCTGTCTGAAAAACATCTAAAGGTGAGTAAGACTGGAGACATGGCTCAAGTGGTAAAGTGGTTGCACACAGCACACACACACACACACACACACACACACACACACACACACATGCATATACATGTTTATATATGTATATATGGAAGAAAGATTCAAAGAAACACAGTCATTCGTTTAGTTTTCTTTTTTTTGGGGGGGGGGGGGGTGGTCCAGTCATGGGCCTGAACTCTGGGCCTGGGCACTGTCCCTCAGCTCTTCAGCTCAAGGCTAGCGCTCTACCACTTGAGCCACAGCGCCACTTCCGGCTTTTTTCTTTTTGCTTATGTGGTGCTGAGGAATCAAACCCAGGGCCTCAAGCATGCAAGGCAAGCGCTCTACCACTGAGCCACCTTCCCAGCCCTTCATTTAGTTTTCAAGTATGTGTTTCTAGAGAGGCAGAGACATTTCAACACCACTTTGAAAACTAGGAAAGCTGGGACATAGCAAGGTGGCAGAACTTGCCTTTTCTGGGAATAAACATCTACCAAAGGTGATCCAACTCCTCCTAGAATTCTTAACTTTTCACTTCACTTCCTGAAAGCACATGAATATTCATGACTCAAAGAGACCATAAACCATTTCCTGATGACCCACAATACTGGCACACTCCTTTTACACCAATATTTAACAATCCATTTGGTCCTAATCCAAAACACACCAATATGTTACAGCCCTAAATGAATCCCCTACCCTTTCCATTTCTTCTGTAGCATTGGACTTATTATAGCAAGTATATTGGAGAAAGCAATCGTTTTCAAAACATTGCCTGAGGGATACAAAAGTTGTTTTATTTCATCATTAGGCATTTCTGTCCCAGGAGGCATTTCATAGTCAAGATTCGAAATAACAGTCATCATTTTATTGCAGTTTTCTATTTTTGCACATAAAAATATTTAGAACATGTTTTGAGCTGAGTTTTATTAGTCATAATGCTAGGAAGCGCCTAGCGCTCTGGGTGATGGAATTATCTTTGAGGTTCCCTTTAGTGTTATTTCTCCCTTATAGTCAACTTTCTCTCTGTGTTTGCTATGAGAACTGGAGCATAAAGTGGAAATGGAATATTCCATCTATTTGTATGAGTGACCTGTACACAGGGATAAAGTGAACTCCATCCGTGTATCTGCTCTTTTTCCTGTGATCAGCATTAAATTCCCTCTGCCATATGAGAAGCTACTTATGCCTTAGATAATGCTACATTAACAAGAATGAAAAAATATGGAGTTCATTCAACAAGCATACAAGCAATTCAAAAAAACAATTGGTATTCAATAACAGCCTTATCAGGCAACTGGATTATGTTTCCCTCTCAGGGGATCTAATCACCACAGAGACATAGCCCTGGCATACAGGTACATGGAGAAAAGAGTGGAATAATGAAGTCAGAGAAACTGCAGGGATTTCTAATGTATCAAGGTGATACATTAGATATAAAACGGGACTAATTCTACAATCTCCACCATGCTTAAATGTTTGTAGGGGCAGGGTGCTCTTACCTTACACAGCGCCCCTAGTGGTATTCTGTATCATTATAATTTCTTCTATACAAACAAAATCTCTTTCTATCAATTATTTTTCTTCTCCTAGGGGGCTTGACAGAAAAATCGTAGTCCTTGTGATATATGACAGTCCTAGAAATGTTTGAAAATGGTTATCAAGTGTTTTGTAGTGAACATCATCATTTGCCTGACCCCATCCATCACCCTTCTTTTGATAATAGTGTCTAGATTTTCTCTAGTACCACACCTCCTCTCTCCCATGTGCTTGTTTGCAGGGGTCAAGACAGAGGTTTGCCTCTCCTATGACCCAGCAATCCCTCTTTTGGGCATTTACCCCAATGATCACAAACAAGAGCATACTAAGACTATCAGCACAACTATGTTTATTGCAGCATGATTTACCATAGCTAAGATATGGAACCAACCCAGATGCCCCTCAGTAGATGAATGGATCAAGAAAATGTAATATATATATATATATATATACACACACACACATATATATACACATACATACATATATATAATGGAATTCTATGGCTCCATCAGAAAGAATGATATCACCCCATTTGTTTGGAAATGGAAAGACTTGAAAAAAATTATATTAAGTGAAGTAAGCCAGGCACAAAGAAACATAGGTCCCATGGTTTCCCTTATTTGCAATAACTAGTACATGTGTAGGACAAGCTACGTACATATGAACATATAAGATGCTATTAAGCGAAATGAACCCCAAGAGAGGGACACAAATATTTTTTCTTGCTTGCTGTTGTTTCTAACATATTTATAATGTACCATGTGATTTTTTTGTATCTTTGTATGTTCCTCCCTCGCAGCATAACCCCTGTTTTCCCTGTATTTGATGTAGATGCCTTGCATCTTGTATATACACTTCTCTAATTTGGGGAAGGGAAGGGAAAAAAACAAAATGCTTAAATAGGAATACAGGTTGACCCATTGTAGCAATATGTACAAGACACTATGTTGAAAATGAACTTTACAACTTTGGTAGGGGTGGGTAAGGGGCGGGGGGGGGGGGGGGGGGGGGGAGGCGGGGCGGGGGGGGGGGGGAGGCGGGGCGGGGGGGGGGGGGGGAGGCGGGGAGTGGTGTGGAGGTGGGAGGGAAAAGATGGTAGGGGAAAAAGATGGTAGAGGAAGCAACAATGTTCCATAGGAAATGTACTCATTACTTGTGAAATTGTAACCCCTTTATACGTTATTTTTACAATAAAAACATACAAAACATTGAGGCTCATGTGACTAGAACAAGCAAATGTATTTCAAAGCTACTGGGGAACATAACTTCCCTTCCTTAGTATTTGTTTTCTAACTGAGCATTTAGTGAAGGCTAAACCAATGAGACATACCTCTATTTCTTTCAGTTGACAAATGCAAATTCTGTATATTTAGAAAGTACAACCCAATATTCTGATAGATGTATACAATGTGTAATGATTTAATTAAGCTAGTTAACATACCTGTCATTTCACATATTTGTTATGATTTTTGAGGCAACATTTACCCAAGATTTTGAGATCCCTCTCCCAGGTTAGTTTAATGGGAGGGTGATCTGCTTTGAGAATCACAAAAGAGGGGTGATTAGGCTAGGTTCTGGTAGAGTTGAGGCCTTTCAACAAACAGTAGCTTTTCCCTGGGGCTATTTTGTGAAAAATTCACAGAGCCCACCCTGGAGCCATTCTCAGGGTTTCTGTTTTTCAATTGATTGTGGAGGCTGCTAGAGGGAGGGGCAGCCTCTGGCTCTGGTTACCCGGTGAGGAGAGCCACTCCAATGCCTGAGCTGGGTGACTTTTCCCTGGATGGAGCTGAGTCTGGCAGGTCACTTTGCCGTTAAGTTCTTGTGACCTGCTAAATGACTCGTTTTATTCCAAGGCCTGAGTTGGAGCTAGCCGCTCCTCCGAGCTTTGTCGGTATCCAAGATGGAGATCACCGGTGCTGGGGGGGGAGGGGTGGCCTTCCCTCCTCTGCTCCCTGAGAAGGAGTGAGGAAGTCGGGCTTCTACTCACGCCGAGTCTTGGATCCTGGGTCGTCTCTGGTCTGCAAACTGCAGGATGAAGTTGTCCGCTCCTTGTCGGTTCTTGCTGGTGTTGAGTAGAATCCTCTCACCCGCTGCCTCTGGCTCCTTCGTCCCGGACTCTCTGTGTGAGCGCTCAGGTATGGCCGCGGCTGCGGTCACCGCTGCGACCCTGCCACCGCCGCCGCGGCTGCTGGCAGGCGCTCCGATGTGTCTCCTTGTCTTGGCTTCCCCTCTCTTGACTAACTCTCTGTCCTGTGATGGCACACTTGGTGTGATTCTCTGGCTTAGGACTGTTTACTGGAACTCTAAACCTGCTTTCTATGCGAGAGCTTGTTCAGATTCCAGCTTCTCCTCCGCCATCTTCCCGGAACTCCTGAGGCAACATTTAAAACTTAGTCTCTCACCAATTTTTCTCACATATAAGATACTATTGACTATAGCTCATCATGCAATGAATGCAATAAATCTCTAGAAACTATCCATGTTTACCTAATATCTTCGAAATCTTGCCCACCTTTCGTCCTACTTCTGAATCTACTGTTTCAGATTCCCAGTGTAGTATTTGTTTTCCTCTGCCCAGCTTATTCACTTAATGACCTGCATTTCTATTGATGTTGTTGCAAATGACAGCATCATTTTTATTTTTATTTTTATTTTTTAATTGAAAAGGTAATGAGCTAGGGGGTTTCAGTTACATAGGTAAGGTAATCAGTACATTTGTTTTTAATCATCATTACCCCATCCCTCTTTATCTCCCACTGACCCCTCCCTATCCATCCCCCAAGTTGTAAAGTTCATATCCAACACAGTGTCAAGTGAGTATCAATGCTGTGGTTCATCTGTTGTTCTGCTGTTTCTGTGATTCCCTTTTCCTATCACATATGGCATTGGCTACTATGCAAAACATGAGGTGCAAAAAGCTAAGAGAGATGAAGAAAGAAAAAAAAATAGAGAAAAAGAACGAACTGTACACAGGGTAGAATGAGAACCCCTTGTTTCCATAAGTTGGAGTTCATGTTAATATGCCTCATTATATATAGTCCTTTGCACTAAGCACTTGGGTTATTGAGATCCCCTGTTAAGAATATCATACAAATATTCTACTTCTTACACATGAGGGAGATCATGTGACTTGCTTTCCTTTGGGTCTGGCTTGCTTCACTTAATATAACTTTTTCCAAGTTTTTCCATTTCCTTTTGAATGGAACAATATTAATCTTTCTGATTGAAGCATAGAATTTCATTGTGTATATATACCACATTTTCTTGATCCATTCATCTACCAATGTTCCATATCTTGGCTATGGTAAATAACACTGCGATGAACATCATCATACTTTAGTGTGGGCTTGTTTGTGGACATTTGGGTAGATTCCCAGAGGTGAGATTGCTGCGTCATAGGGGAGCTCTATGTACAGCTTTTTGAGGAACCTCCATACTGCTTTCCAGAGTGGCTGAACAAGTTTGCACTCCCACCAACAGTGTAGAAGCGTTCCTCTTTGGTCACATTCCAGCCAGCATCTGTCATTGTTATATTTCTTGATTATGGACATTCTAACTGGTGTAAGGTGGAGAATCTCAATGTTATTTTGATTTGCATTTATTTTATAGTCAGAAATGTTGGACAATTCTTCATGTGTTTCTTGGCCATTCATATTTCCTCTTCAGAGAGGTCTCTCTTAAGGTCTTTAGCCCACTTTTTAATGGGATGGTTGTTTCTTTGGGGGTTGGTTTTAGGGGAATTAAATTTCTTGAGCTATTGGTATATTTTAGATATGAGACTTTTGTCTGCTGTATGGGTGGTGAAGATCTTCTCCCAGTCTATGTGGTTCCAATATATTTTGCTAGCTATGTCCTTTGCCATGCAGAAGCTCTGCAGTTTAATGCAATCCCATTTATCCAGCCTATAGAGCCAATTATCTGATGAACAATGATGCAAAACTTCTTAATAAAATCCTGGCCAATCCTAGTCAAAAATAATTATGCACTATGATCAAACAGGATTCATTCCAGGGATGCACAGCTGGTTCAATATACACAACTCAATTAATATAATTCAACACATCAATTGAAGCTAGGACAAGAACCACATGATTATCTTCATAGATGCAGAAAAAAGCATTTGACAAGATCCAACACCCTTTCATGATGAAAACTCTGGAGAAACTAGAAATCCATGGAATATTCCTCAATATAATAAAGGCTATATATGACAAGCCTACAACTAGTATAATACTCAATGGTGAAAAGTTAAAGCCATTTCCTCTGAAATCAGGAACAGAACAAGGCTGTCCACTCTCTCCACTTTTCTTCAATAAAGCATTAGAATTTCTAGCTAGAGCAATAAGGCAAGAGGCAAACATAAAGGGGATCCAAATAGGAAAAGAAGAAGCAAAACTCTTCCTCTTTGCAGATGGCATGATCCTAGATCTAGAGAATCTCCTACACTCCACTCCCAAGTTACGTGAGCTGATCCAAAACTTTGGCAAACTAGCAGGGTATAAAATCAATCCACAAAAATCAATAGCTTTCCTCTATGCCAACAATGAGGAGAGAAAGGCTGAAATTAGGAAAGCAACTCCAAATTCAATATCCTCAAAAAATAATAAAATACCTAGGAATCAACTTAACCAAAGAAGTGAAGGACCTCTACAATGAAAACTTCAAAAATCTGAAAAAGGAAATTGAAACAGACCTCAGGAACCGGAATAATCTTCCATGTTCCTGGATTGGAAGGATTAACACTGTGAAAATGGCAATATTGCCAAAGCCTATATACAAATTCCATGAAATACCCATCAATATCCCAACTTCTTTCTTCAATGAAATAGAAGAAGCAATCCAAAAATTCATGTGGAACAAGAAAAGACCCCAAATAGCAAAAACAATCCTTAGCAGGAAGAACAATGATGGAGGAATTTCAATACCAAACCTCAAACTCTGTTACAAAGCCATATTACTCAAAAAAGCTTAGTATTGGTGCAAGAGCAGGCCTGAGGACAAATGGAATTGATTCAAAGACTCAATGAACCCACAGAACTATGACCACCTAATCTTTGACAAGGGAGCAAAAATAAATAGGATGGAAGAAAGACAGCCTCTTCAATAAATGGTGTTGGCAGAATTGGCTAAACATGTGTAGAAAACTCAAGTTAGATCCTTATATATCACCTTTTACCAGAATCAACTCCAAATGGATCAAAAACCTCAAGGTAAAAGCAGATATGCTTGATAAGAAGTGTACTCATTACCTTGCTCATGTAATTGTAAACCCTCTGTACAGTATTTTCACAGAAACACTAGGGCTCCTTGGCACAGGTCAAAACTTTCTTAATAAAGATCCAGAAACACAGCACTGTATTAAGACCATTCAACCATTGATAGACATGAGTTGATTCCATATCTTAGCTATTGGGAAAAGGTTGTAATAAATTTGGGAGTACAGATAGCTCTTCATGGTACCGATTTCACTTACTTTAGAAATTTACTCAGCAGTGGAACTGCTTAATCATATATACTTCTCTTTTTAATATTGTTTATAATTTTTAATTAACTTACTTTATTGTTATTATGGAAGTGATATACAGAATGATTACAACTACACGAGTCAGGTAATGAGTACATTCCTTTTCTTACAGGGTCTTCTGTTCCCTCATTCTTTCCCAGTCCCTCCCTCCCATCTCCACTCCCAAATTATACAGTACACTTTCATCCATTTCCAGTGAGCTCCACTACTACACTTTTTCTCCTTTCCCCTCAAGTTCTTTGCCCTCACCCCACTCCTGAAGATGTAGATGTGAATACACCATACATGAGTTAAAGAAGACAGAATCATCAAAAACTAAAAAGAAAGGCTTTAGTTTTCATATCTTGGAGTACGTTTCAGTATGTACATGGTTTGATATGAAGAGGAACTTAAGCATTGCATCTTTGTGTTTCTCTCTTTTTGGTCTCACTGTGTGAGTATCTAGAATTCTGTATAATTTGTCATAGCCCAATGTGTTTTAAATCTAACTTCTGCATATCAGAGAGAACATGGGCTGTTTCTCTCTCTCCATATGGTTTTCCACAATGTCAACATTAATTTACACTCTTATCAACAGTGTGTATACAAGAATCCCTATTTCACATCCTTGCCAGCACTCCCTGTTTTGGGGTAAATGCTATTCTGACAGGTGTAAGGATGTCTCTTACTATGGTTTTAGTTTGCATTTTCCCCATGATTGATGTTGTTAAGCATTTTTTCATAAATTTGCTTTGGAATTTTTTGGTGTGCTGGTCCTGAGGCTTGAAGTCAGGGTCTAAGCACTATCCCTGAGCTTTTTTGCTCAAGGATAGTCCTCTACCACTTGTTTCACAGCTCTATTTCCAACTTTTTGGTGGTTAACTGGAGGTAAGAGTCTCAAGGACTTTCTTGCCAGGGCTGGCTTCAAATATGGGGCTGGCTTCAAACCTCAATCCTCAGATCTCAGCCTGCTGAGAAATAGGATTACAGGTGTGAGCCACAAGCACCAGGCTGTTATTGGAATTTTGATACATATTGTATTGAATCTGTATATTGCCTTGGGAAATACTGATATAATAATATTAATCCTTTCAATCTATGAACATGGGCTATCAGCCCACTTTTAGGCCTTGTTAAAGTTTTTTATTGGTGTTTTATAAACCTATTAGAACTTGAAAACCTATACAGTTTTCAGTATTTGGATCTTTCATGTTCTTGGTTAAATTTGTTCTTGAATATTTTATATGACTATAATTAGGAGTGTTAACTTCCTTTTCAGGTACATCAATGCTGACATACTGAAGTGCTGCTAACTTTATGTTAAGCTCCATTTACTAGTTCTAACAAGTTACAGTGATTTTGTCTTTAGATATTTTCTATTTAAGATCATGTTGTCTGCAAACAAATGACCTTTTTTCTTGCTTAGCTATTCTAAACTTTTCCATGCTATGCTGAATGCATTTCAAGCATAATTACCTTGTCTCTGATCTTAGAGTAAGGTTTTACTTTTCACTATTGAATTAACCATTGGCTTTAGATATGCAATCATTATTCTGCTAAGGTACACTACTTTATATGTAATATAAGGGGTATTTTAGCATGAAAGAATACTGAATTTTGACAAATGTTTTTCTCCAACTACTGAGGTGATCACATGGTTTTATCTTCATCCTTTAATAGGATATATCACACTTGCTGATTTGTGTCTATTCAATGATCCTTACATCCTAGGAATAAATTGATTCTGGTGAATGATCCTTTAAGGAGACAATTTCCGTTATCTTAATAGAACCCTTGAGACAGAATCTTGCTTCCTACTATGTACTCTTAGTTTTAGGATATATGATCTCAGAATTTTAGGCCCTACCAACCTCATGGTGAAGATATTTCCTGAAAATGAAGCCAAAAATTAAGAAGGTCAAAGCCAAAGCACACAAGAAAAAAAAAAAATAGGTGGCTTGATTTGACATCTGTATATCATTTGAGCCTTCTACCAGATCTGCTCCTGACCTTTTCAGTTACATAAATCAATTCATTTCTCTTCCCTCAAGTCATTAAGAATTATTTCCAATGAAAAGAGTTCTAATAGGACTTTTCCAAGTCTTACCCTTTTTAAAGAATATCACAGTTTCTGCAGCTATTCTTTTTTTTAATTGTGAAAATACCGTACAGAGCGGTTACAATTACATGGGCAAGATAATGAGTACATTTCTTATCAAGCATTGTTTCCTCTTCCTTTGTTTCCCCTTCCCATCCCTTTCCATATCCCACCCCCCATCTTCTTAACCCCTCCCCCTGACCAAAGCTGTAAAGTTCGTTTTTCAACATAAGGACTTGTACATCTCATTGTTGCAATGGGTCCACCTGTATCCCTATTTAAACAATTTGTTTTTTCCCTTCCCCTCCACAAATTATACCAACATCAAATACAGTGCAAGCAGGGGTTGTATCATGGGGGAGGGACATACAAAGCAACAAAGATATCATCTTATAAATATATTAGAAACAATCACATGAAAGAAAAAACATTTGAATACTTATCTTGGGATTCATTTCACCTAACATCAACTTATCTGACCTTTTCTGCTTGTCTCAGACGTATACTAGTTATTGCAAATAAGGGCAACCATGGGACTATGTTTCTTTGGGTCTGGCTTACTTCACTTAATATAATTTTTTCCAAGTCTTTCCATTTCCTAACAAATGGGGCAATGTCATTCTTTCTGATGGAGGCATAGAATTCCATTGTGTATATATATATATATCACATTTTCTTGATCCATTCATCTACTGAGGGGCATCTGTGTTGGTTCCATATCTTAGCTATGGTAAATAATGTCTGCAGCTGTTCTTTAGATTACATGTGTTCCAAGAGTTCATCCTCTCTGTTCATTTATCTGTTGATTTCCTCCAATAGAAATGAGCTTAACCCAAAAGGTAAAATGTGACTCAAGCAGTATAGTCAAGGTCAACTACCACTGACCTGGATCTGATAAGACTATTCCTGACGTTTATAGTTCCTCAATAATATTGTGATGGATAATTTTATATGTCAACTTGTCTAGCTGTTTGGTCAAATGCTACTCTAGATATTGTTGTAGAAGGTCATCTTTCAGTGAAGCAAATTACCCTCCAAACAGTGGGTAAGCTACATCCAATCAGCTGAACGTTATCAGAGAAAGACCTAAGTCCTTAACCAGGGAAGAAATTCTGCCTCCTGATAGTGTTCAGACTCTAGAAAGCAGCATCAGCTCCTGCCAGAATTCCCATCCCTTCAGATTTCAGCCCCCACAATGACCTAAAACAGTATGTGTGTGCATGAGTGCATTGGCTCTATCTTTCTCAGAAGAAACCTGACTGATACAAATAAAAACACCATATTCTTCCCATGCTCAGAGATCTCAAACAACAGAGAAGGAGTTTTACTTGTAATAAAGATGTTTCATGTTTTATATCATCAAGTCTTTGTTTTAAATGAAGCTCATTATATGTGTATGCCTACTGCCATGATTTCCATCAATTGAGATATTTTTTTGAAAAAGGTTCCTTCATCTAGCATATTCATTAAGGTTCCCAGTTTGGGACTTACACACATTTGATAAGAAGGCTTTGATCTCTTTATCCTAGTAATTAGAAAAATGCTCATTAAACTCTAGCTTATACGGGAGCCCTGTTGAACACAACTTGAGCTCCCATCAATCAGCATCCTATTGTGTGAACTCTTTAACGAGTTGTTCATCCAGCTAACAGGATTATCACTCAGCCTGTACCTTTCCAGCTCACCTTGGAGAACATTATAAAAGTTTCTAATGAAAGCCCTGCAGAAATGAAATCGTCTGTGTTCCCAGAAACCATACCATCTTTCATTTTAATAACCCATACAAAATAGTTGCTTTGACACCAATTGTTGTTTATAGATGCATTCTTGATCTAACTTGTGGCTGATTTCTTCTGTGAAGATTCATCAAAACTCTCCTAGAATTTTTTCCAGGGTGCCACCAAATCATTGGCACAATAAGCTTAATATCACATATTTTCCTTCATCATTTAAAATGCTTTTTCAAATATTAAAAATGTTGATTCTATGCTGATTTCTCCAAATTCTTTGATTATGTTGCAAACTACTTGATCAAAGAATGTGTAGTTTTGCTCACTAAAGCAAATGCTTCTCACCCTTATGGGAAATAGTTTCTGTTTCCAGTTTTAATGTCTTCCTCCTTCATAAAGAAGGCAGAAACAAAACAAGGTTAAGATGAACTTCCAGGAAAAAAAATATACAACAAATAAAATAGAGAAATGGCTTTGATCTTTGTTCCATTAAAAAGTACATAGGGGCTGGGAAGGTGGTTCAGTGGTAGAGTGCTTGCTTCACATGCGTGAGGCCCTGGGTTCAGTTCCTCAGCACCACATAAACAGAAAACGCTGGAAGTGGTGCTGTGGCTTAAGTAGTAGAGCACTAGCCTTGAGCTGAAGAGCTGAGGGACAGCGCCCAGGCCCCGAGTTCAAGCCTTATGACCGACAAAAAATAAAAATATATAAAAGCTACACTGGTTCACACCTGTAATCTTAGCACTTGAGACTGAGGCAGGAGGATAGGGGGTTGGAAGCCAGCATGGACTACAGAGCAAGTTCAAAGCCAGCCTGAACTACAGTGAGATTCTATCTCACAAAAACCTAATAATCAATGTTCATATGTGAACATGGAACAAGGGACTTGAAGGAATAATTAAGGTTGAGATAGACAGAGGGAGGAAAATGATGGAAGGGGTGACATTGATCAAGATGCATAGTGCTCATAAACTGACAGATTGAGTTAACACTACTTTGCACAACTACTTAAGGATATTAATAAAAATGAATTTTAATTAACTAAAAATAACATATAGATAAGATCTGGTGTTGGAGCCATCCAAACTTCAAAAGACAAAGGACATAAAACAGATAGTACACACAGGGTACTCGTGGCTCACACTTTAATCCCAGCTACTCAGGAGGCTGAGATATGAGGATCACCACTCAAAGCCAGCCTGAGCAGGAGAGCCCATGAGATTCTTATCTCCAACTAACCATGAGAAAACCAGCAGTGGCACAGGAACCCAAGTAGTAGAGTGTTATCCTTGACTAAAAGAGCTCAGAGACAGTGTCCAGCCCAGAAGACCAGCAAAAAAAAGAAGGTTTAAGACTTCTAAGCAGATTAATATAAGCTTAGGAAAATCTAACATGAACATTGTTAAGCTTAG